AAGTATTTTAAAAAGTTATTTGCATAAAAGTAATACTTAGTGCATGAGAAAAAGAAATAACACCTTTGTGTAAAAGTGTAAGAAATGTATGAAAAATTGTCACATACATACGTTAACCATCAATGTTCTAGAATTTTGGATATGGAGAGACGCTAATGTAAATTAAAATGTTAAAAAGTAAACAAAGCTTCCGTTATGTTAAATCTGTAGACAACTAATGATTAAGCTTTTAGTTTTAACTTTTTCTCATAGTGATGATGATTACTTAAAAGTTGTTATGTGCACAAAAGTAATACATTAGTGTATATGAAAAGAAATAACACCTTTATGTAAACATGTAAGAAATGTATGAGAAATTGTCACATACATACCTTAACAATCAACGGTTCTAGAATTTTGGATATGAAGAGACGCTAATGTTAGTTAAAATGCTAAAAAGTAATGCTAAAAAGTAAAAAAGCTTCCGTGAAATATGTAGACAACTAATGATTAAGCTTTTAGTTTTAACTTTTGCCCATAGTCATGATGATTACTTAAAAGTTGTTACCTGCATAAAAGTAATATGTTAGTCCATGTGAAAAAGAAATAACACCTTTGTGTAAATATGTAAGAAATGTATGAAAAATTGTCGTATACATACATTAACAATCAACGTTTTAGAATTTTGGATATGAAGAGATACTAATGTTAGTTAAAATACTAAAAAGTAAAAAAACTTTCGTTAAATATGTAGACAACTAATTATTAAGCTTTTAGTTTTAACTTTTGCTCATAGTCATGATAATTACTTAAAAGTTGTTACCTGCATAAAAGTAATATATTAGTCCATGTGAAAAAGAAATAACACCTTTGTGTAAATTTGTAAGAAATGTATAAAAAATTGTCATATACATACATTAACAATCAACGTTCTAGAATTTTGGGTATGGAGAGATACTAATGTAAGTTAAAATGTTAAAAAGTAAAAAAAAGCTTCCGTTGAATCTGTAGACAACTAATGATTAAGCTTTTAGTTTTAACTTTTGTTCATAGTCATGATGATTACTTGAAAGTTGTTACCTGCATAAAAGTAATATGTTAGTGTGTGTGAAAAAGAAATAACACCTGTGTAAAAGTGTAAGAAATGCATGAAAAATTGTTATATACATACAACGTTCTAGAATTTTGGATATAAAGAGACTCTAATGTAAGTTAAAATATTAAAAAGTAAACAAAGCTTCAGTTAAATCAGTAGACAACTAATTATTAAGCTTTTAGTTTTAACTTTTTGTCATAGTCATGATGATTTCTTAAAAGTTGTTATTTGCATAAAAGTAATACGTTAGTGCATGTGAAAAAGAAATAACACCTTTGTATGAACATGTAAGAAATATATGAAAAATTGTTACATACATACGTTAACAGTTCTAGAATTTTGGATACGAGAAGAGATGCTAATATAAGTTAAAATGTTAAAAAAAAAAGAAAAAAGTTTCCGCTGAATCTTTAGACAAGTAATGATTAAGCTTTCAGTTTTAACTTTTACTCATAGTCATGAAAATTACTTAAAAGTTGTTTAGAAAAGCAGTTTTGGAAGATACACTTGCTACATTACTTATAACCTTGAGTGGTTATTTTATATTCTAAATTGCTATAATTCTTTTAATGTTTTAAAGATTAAAGAGTATTAATATCTTTTTTAACTAAACTATTAATGTTACTGTTTATTAACATAAAATTAATAGTAACAAAATCTTTCAATTATAAAGGTGCAAAAGATTTTACCTTTGAAAAACAATTTAGAGAAAAATAAAATTTATATTTTAAATAAATATATTAATATAAATTTAATTTATTAATAATATATAAATTTTTTAATTTAAAATTTAAAAATATTTCATTCTCTTATTTTCTTCAAAAATTTTCTTTCAAATATATTCTACAAAAATAATACAATAATGTGGGCTGTATGTGATTCCCAAACTACCTTCTCTTGAGCCTCCATTAATTCGGGACTAAATAGACTAGACTAAACATATATAGATTTTTCTGAGTCTTCAATTTTAAAATTCAAAATCATTTTCTCTCTTATATATATTTTGGTCAACCCATCCGGTGACTCCGTTTTGCAAGAACTAGTAGCTAAGGTTTATTTTCCTCACTAAAAATTTTAATTCATATATTTATACCTTATTTTAATAGTTTAATCATAATACGTTGATTGAATAATTAAATTTTTCCAACATCAAATATATATTAAAATAGCATTAAAATATATTGATATATAGTATTAATTATAGCATTCACCATTATATTAATGTATTATTTAAGAATGTAATAAATAAAAATTAAATGTTATGATATTACAAAATTTATTTTTTTATGTAAAAAAAAACTAACCTAAATTTAAAAATAATTGTTTACATTTTTTATTATTTAATTGAACAATGCATACATATTTTTATATACTATATTAATATGTAATATTTAATGTAACATTAAATACTATATTAACATGACATTAATTTATTTTGATATATAGTATTAAATATTATCTTAATATATTATTTAGAAAACGATAAATAAATATTTAAATGTTAGGATATCATGGATTTATTTTTTATGTTAAAAAATAGTAAAATAAATTTAAATAATAATTTTTATTTAATTAATAATATATATATATATAATTTTATATACTATATTAATTTGTTATTTTTTTTGCTACACTAAATACTATATTAATCTAGTATTAAAATTTATAGAACTACAGTATTGAATATAACAGTAAATTGTATGATAATATAATATATTTAAAAAACGATAAACAACAAATTAAATGTTATGATATTATAAATTTATATTTTATTTGCGTAAAATTATTAAACTAAGTTTTAATTTTTTATTTATTTAAATAATATATACATATTTTGTTTATAATTATTATCTCATTTTTTATTCACAACTATATTATTTTATTATTATTATGCTTAAGGCGTATACTGAGTCGTTACATTTATATATAAACTTCAATATTATAAATATGGATACGTTACTTAGAGAGTAAAACATTTAATGAAACTCCTTTACTTTAATATGTATTTTTTAAGATTTAAATTATTAAAAATAATATGTAAATTAGAGTTTCTTTTACTATAATAATTTTAATATTTATTCATATATTTTTAAAACATTTCTAAATTTTGAAAATAAAAAAATTTACTTAACTTTTCTTATTATCTTACCTAAATTTTTAGTAAATACATGTTTGTATTTTTAAATTTTTTATTATTATCTTGTATAACCTTTCAAGATCGGAGGTTTGAAAAAAAAAATATGAACACTAATTAACCAGTACATAGCTAGAAAAAGACAAAAAAAAAATCAATAAGATTAATGTTTCTAGCAAAAAAACAAAAAAAGACTCGTTTGATGGGTTTTTAAAACTTAGAGGAATAAAATAAAATTATAAAATGAAATTGAAACTTGCTTTATAGTTTGAAAACAAAAATAATAATTTTTTTAATTTTAATAAATATTTTACTTTTATAAATATAAGTTATATGTCAAAATATAATTTATATTTTATTTTATTAATATTTATCAAAATTAAATATATTTTATTATTATAATAATACCATTTTTATTAATTATACATTCTTAAAGTTGATAAATTTATTATTTGAATCTCGACATTTATTTGTGATTGATTTTTTTTCTGTCCCGACGCTCTTTCATTAGCTTATTAATCTATTTGAATAGATCGATTTTAAATTGCATTTAAACTCTATGAATATGTATATTTATCTTTAAAATTAATTATTGTCTACAGTCAATTATTTTTCTGCATTAACGTCAAAGAATGCATTATATTCATTAATGTTTGTGATTATATCGTTCCCCTTTCTTCAATAAATAATAAATAATACAATTCTACCTACTTCAGTGTTAATCTTTATCATTGTTCTCTTTCTTCAATAAATTAAATTATATTAAATAATTTAATTTTTAACTATAACATTAATATATAATAATTTTTGAAATTTTTATTTAAGAATTTAAATTATACATCTAATTAAAAAAGAAGTCATGATTTAATTTTGAAAAAGAAAGTTCATTCCGAATTTTTTATTGAATATTAATAATTTCATTTTATAATTAAAATATTTTTTTAAATAAAATGTTTAACTAATCTCAAATAATAAAATAAACTAAATGGATGGTTAACAGGGATTTAATTCAACCAGTTAACAACGTTATAATTGCAAACGCTGTACATTAATATTGTAATGAAATTTAATTTAATTTCCTTACCAAGAATTAGTTCTTTGTAAAACGATAATATAAAATTATTACATAGAAGGAAAAAAATATAAAATAACATTTTATTTGAAATTTATTAAGAAAAAAATAAGACTCGGCATAAATTGATCCTAGACAGGTTTATAATTTTTTTAGTATAAAAATAATATGTTTTAATGATTTTTTGTACAGATCTAATCCGTATATGATAAATATTACATTACATTATATGAATTTATTACAAACTATAAATTTATGTAAAATAATGAATTGATAATAAAGTTGAATTTATATATTTACATCTTTTTTCTTTTTATAATCAATATATAAAGTGCATTCATTGCATGAATGTATAGCAATATTCACAATAATTTTTATTGTTTTTTGCATTAAAAGCTCCCGTTTTTCAAAGCTTAGTTGGAAAGTGCATAGGAAATTGGCCTATTCCCTTTTAAATTGAATGCAGTAAAAGGTTACAATTAGGGCAACTACTCTAAAAGGTAGAGAGAGAGAGAGAGAAGAAGAGGCAACAAAAATGGATGTTTTTTTTTTTTTTTAATATTTTGTAATGCGTGTGGGTCATATTTGTATTGGACCATTACAAACTTTCTTACAGTTTATAAGACCTTCCCTTGTAAAACTGTTCTTAACTCCTTAAATATTCTCTCTCTAGTTATTCTCTCTCTCTCTCTCTCTCATTCACAGAATCAACGTTTCCAATGGAGAGTAAATGGATTCTGAGGAAGAGAAGGTGTGTGAGGGTTGCAAGAAGAAGCAATGAATCGGAAGACTTGTTTAACAAGCTCCCAAAGGAGCTCCACATCGACATCGTCAAGCGTCTTACTGAGAAGGACCTTTCAATAGCGATGTGTGTTTCAATGGAGTGGCGCAATCTCATCCTTCATTCATGTGTCCCTACAACACAATCCTTGACTGTTCCCTACCTTGGTCTCCTCAAGGAAATGGAGAAACAAGGTAAAGGCAAAATCAATCCTACTTGGCTTACTGTTGTGATTAACAGCATAACACCCTACCCATTCCTCGACACCAACCATCTCTTCAATTGGTGCTCTAAGGTTATGTGTTGCAAGGTCAAACCTGAAAGCCTCATTGGTTCGTGTAACGGATTGATCTTGTTTTGCCATAACAATGGTAAAGCCAAGGGCTTTACACATGGTTCTTATCACTATTATGTGATTAACCCTGTCACCAAGCAGTGTGTGGCTGTGTTGAAACCGTCATCGTGTAACGCACCTTATTCATATGCTGCCTTGGCTTATGACCCTCTTGAGTCTTGGTTTTTCAAGATTGTTCGGTTTCAAGGTTCTCGAAATCTGAATGTTTTCTCCTCAGAGACTGGGCTTTGGACAACTTTGAGCTTTCAATTACCTCAAAAGGTGACAAAGTCCAAGTGGCAGAAAAAGTCAGTTTACTCTAAGGGTGCAATTTATAGGCTCTCTAGTTCAAGGCAAGTGATCAAGTTTCATGTGGACCTACAAGAGAGTGTGGAGAAGCAAGCAGTGGCAATTGATCTCCCTTGTATGGATGATAACGATTATCGTCATAATAAGGACATTTCGGTGAGGGGCAGTGATGTGTTGTTTATTATGACCGTAGGTCAAAATTTGAAGGTCTGGGAGCTTGTGGAAAGCTTTACTGGTGCTGGTTGCTCCTTTGAGTGGATTTTAACTCATACGATTGACAATGGATTCTTGAAGGAATTTAATAATTATGGAAAATTCTTGGGCTTTCATCCTTACTATGGAGTGATGTTTTTCAAGCTTGATAATATCTTATACTATTTCTTTTCTTCTTACAACACCATGGGTGTGAGGGCAATTGCACATGATACTTGCCTGTATCGTTACCTTAATATCAGTGGATTTCCTTTCCTTGAATGCCCAATCCCCTATGCTTGTTGCCTGGAAAAGGAGGTAATTGTTTCTAAATACTAGATTTTTTTTTTTACATTTTGATTTACTTTATTATTTGATCAATTTGATTCCTTTATTGGTTGGTTGAAATGATACAATTATGCATTGAAAAATATAGGTTTGATAATCAATTGTTCATCTTGAAGGCATCACGCAAGCATTTACTTCTTTTAAGAAATTAATATTGGAGTTATAGTAGTACTAATAATAGATATGAAAGAGGTTAGCTTTAAAATGAGATTGTGAGATCTTGGGATAATCAAATAACTACAATCATTTCAACTATCCAAGGCTTAATTTACACAAATAAGTTATTTCTTACATGTAGAAACTACCTCTAATGCTCATATATGTGTTGGATCAAGCACTTAGGTTGAATGTTACAATTATAGTCAAGACAAGGTGAGTCTAACACTGATTATTAGCCCCTCATAGAACTAACAATTGTCCTCATAGAACTCAAGGTTGTCAAACTTAAAATTTTACCTTAAGATTCGAATCACTGACTCAGAAGAGTTTTCTCATACAAATAAAGCATTACAAGTTCATAACATATATGAAGACATTATTCAACAATAAAAGAGTTATACACAAAGATTAAGGGAAGAAGAAAACATAGAGATGAAGATGTAACATAATCCCAATAGAAAGATGTACAAGACGGAGATAGAGCTTATGACTAAAGCTTATTTTTCCTAGTTTCAGTGCTACAAGATGGATATTAAGATAATGATTCATGGACGAACCATGTTCATGTTGGGATGTAGCTTGAGATCCATCGGAAGCTGGAATTCCCCAAAATTTGATAGAGTTGGTTTAGAAAGGCACGGAGGGGTGTTCTTATAAAATGATGTAGTGTTAGGAGGCATAAATGATTGATGGATAAAACAAAATGTTAGAGTGGAGGCCTTAGTTAGCCTTTAAACTCAAAATGGATCATGTTTTAATTGAAGCTTTGGAGATATGAAAATAAGGTTGAGGAATAAATGAAAAAATGTGTAATGTACATAACTTTTATATACATCTCATCGCATCCATTAAAAGTCTTTATAGTTCCTTATATTTTCATTCTTCTCAGTATTATTTCGAAGACATACAATAAAAAATTATTTAATATATGTTTTAACTATGTTTTAACATTTGATTCACTTTATGGCGAGAGTTTATTTAGCTATGCACTTATTTATTTTTATTCATACACTAGACCTAAGGCCTGCATGTACAAAGCTTTACTAAGAGTACTATACAACTAAGAAAATTATCTTAATTAAACATTGACATAATTTAGCTAGATTCAAGGATCACCTATCTATCTAACAATTAGTAATCATGTCTATTCATTGTCTAAAATATTTTGGTTGACATAACATTTTCTAAAATATAATCAAATAAGAGAACTTTTGCTTTTATTGAATATCACTCGAAGTCTTGTTGACAAATTGATATTGTAATAGAGTTTCCCTAAAAATTACACATACATGATATTCTAACTACTGTTCTTGTGGTTGTCGTTGTTGCAGCATCCAAGACTTTTTCAAGGACTTCCCATTCCAAAGGACTGAAGGTAAAGAACAAAATGAAAAAAATATTTCATTCATAATAATTTTTCTTGACAATTCCTTATGTGGTAAAACACTACTCATCCAAAATAAATTGATTTACTGTGTATTTACATTTGATCCTTTTGCTTTTCACAGGAAGTCTGTCACAACACTTTTACTATAGATGCAATTAACTGTTGAAATTAGTCACTTATTTCTTCTTATTTGAATGGAAAATGCAAGATGTTAAATATTCCCTTGAATACAATAACGGTTTGAATTCTCAATATTTTTACTTTAATAATTGATTTGCTATCATTGTCTTTCTTTTCTTCATTTTGTCATCCTTAATTTGATAGAATGATTTATTGTTTGTATTCTTGCAGAGAAGTGGAATGATTATATATTATTGGGCAAATGGAGAAAGTGAAGCAATGGATTAAAACATCTAATAGACCTGAAATGAACAGCATATGTTGGCTCTTATATATGATTTTAATGTTGATTTAGAGATATTATCATAGAGATTGTTTAATGTTTTGAAGGCATTGTTAACTTTTTGCGAATTTTTGTTTTGCATGGACCATAATTTTGATGTGTCTTTAATTTACAGTGAGTTGAGGGTGCACAAAGACTCAACGTGACATGAAATGTGTGTTAAGTTTAATTTATCTGTGTTTATGATTTAAATATGTTTACATTTTTGCAAATAAAATATTTGTAACGAAAATTATAATTGACCGAAAGAAGGAAAGAAATTCGAATTTTTATCTCACAATCGTAATGAAAAAACAAAATCAAAACCCCTTTGTTGTGTGACACGCTTTTGATATTTTGATTCGTTGATATCATCTATGATATTTTTTAATAAGAATATGCATTACGTATAATGGGTACTCAACGTAAATACATGACAATATAATACAACCAAACAATATAGTTGTATTCCTAGCACTCCATTCTAATAAAATTATCTAGGACAACATATTATTAAATATTTGCAATAATTTTTTATATAAAAAATTAAAGGGAAAATAATTTTATTAGAATGGAATACTAAGAAAACCAAAAATAATTATGAATACAATGTACTGTTTCATGGATTTGTTATTCATAGAACAATGTCAAGTTATCCCCGTTAGAAAAAATAGAGAAAATCTAATGTTTTCAAAATACAACATAAAATAGAAAATATATAAGGACATTTTGAAAAACGAAAACAGGAAAAGGGAGTGGCAATCTTAGTAATATTAATGAAATTGAGCAGTGCTATCTTCCTTTTTATATCACCCGTTTTTCTTTCATTTTTCATCTTTCTAGGTGTGTATCCATTGCTTCATTTTTAAAATTAATTGAAAGCAATGTGCTTCTTTTCTTTTCTTTTTTAATGTTTTTTTATATGTGAAATTATTATTATTGTTAATTTTATATTAATAATAATAAAATTAGTAATTTATTTAAAAAATATAAATATATTTTAATATTTAAAATATTAGAAGAATCACAATAGTTAATTTAAATAGAGTATATAATGTTCTCTTAAAATAATGATTATCGTAACAATATTTTTTTTTATCTATTTGTTGTTTGGTCATTTGCTTGGTATAAAAAACCGAAGCAAACTAATGCATCATTATATACGAACATCTGTGTTTAATTGTCTTGTTGATGTTGTGTTTGTTTGTCTAAGCCATGTATTGCATTCAGTCTTATTAGTTTTAATAGTTTATTTTCCACGAAATAACACCCTTCAGATAATTATTTGAATTAAATTTTAGTACTTAATATAAACACATTGAACATTGTTAGAAAGGACATTCGACTTTTCATCCTTCGAATGTTCTTCCGCGGTAGTAATATTTAGTGTAACATTCTTATTTTCACGGTTTAGTTATTCGTAAAGGTAACAAATATACAGTTATGCAATTTTTTAGAAAAATATAATTAAAATTAAAAATATATTTCTTACAAATTTATTAGGTATATTTTAAATAATTTTTTGGTAAATTTTAAATTTTAAAATAAACAGTTTAAAGAATTTACTTATTTATAGCAATTAAAAGTATTTAAAAAAATAAAAAAATATTTTTAATCCATACTTTTTTAAAAGTATAAAAAAAATTATTTAGGAAATAATATTTGAAGGATAATAATGGGAATTTGTGATACATATGAAAAAAAAAAAGATATCACATTTTTATAATATTTGTTTTATTTTATTTTAATTTTTTTATTTTCTGGTGAATTTATTCTCTTAAATTTAAACATAAACAAAAAAATTTGTTCAACTTTATTGAGCACTAAAATAGGAAACTTTCATGTCAAAAAATGAAATTCATATCTACCTAATTTTATAATTTATTTAATTATAAAACTTTGTACATATTATTTTATGAAATTACCTAATTAAATTAATATTATATCTAATTAATTATTTTATACTATAAAAGAAGTGGATAATATCAAAATACCTATCATTTCCTCTTTCCTCCTTTTTTTTGACCGTGTATCTGAAGCTCAATTTCTTCCCAGTTTTTTGTTTTACAACCAAGAAAGGCCTCCAAATCACTGCAAAAATAAAATAAAATAAAAAATAAATATCATATTCTAATAGATTATTTTATCTTTTTTTTTTCATTTTTTTGAGCTGGAATTTGTGATATTTCAAAATTTTAGTTCCAAATAAATGGTTTAATCCTTTATTGAACATACATTTGAAATATTTTAATTTATCGTTATATAAAGTTACTAAATTGAGCTATGAAACCTTTCTTTTTCTCTCTGAAATCTGTCCCAGTGTCCATAAAGGCGATAATTTGAATTTTCTCATCAACTATATTTCTACCTAGGAGTATTTTATTCACATGTACAAACTTAAATTAAACAAACTTTTTAGAAATTTTGTAAACCAAACTGCAAACCCTTAGCTTAAGTTATTGAATTTTTAAATTTATTATAATGAAAATATGATTAATTTAATTAGATTGTGAACTAAAAAAGTGATAGAAAAAAAAATTGAATTGGAGAATCATCAATTCATGTAAAAAAAAAAGTTTGAATTGTGTACACAGAGATAAGGATAGATAAATTTAAATTAAAAAAAATGTAATGAGAGTACTGGGGAGGAGTCTCTATATTTCATTTAATATATAAAAATTATTTTAAAAAATATATAATCTTTTTAGAAAAATAAATGTATTAAGCTATGTAAATGTGTTTTTTCATGAATTATTTGTTGTATTATGGATTATTATGTATATAAGACTTCCAAGATACTCGTTGATATGTAGTTTGATTGAATTATCAATGATGTAAGTGAATTAAAATTCTTATTATGAACTCTTTAATTGATTGATTTATATTTAAATATAAAATAAAGTATTAAATATTCATTTACGAACATATAGAATGACATGTAATAAATAGTTTAAAAATGAGTGAGAATGATAAAAGGTAAATAAAATTTTGAGGAAATAAATA